AACAGGAAACAAGGAATAAACCTCTATTCTTGTTCAAAAACTTGGTGCGGAATATGAACTGGATGTTAAGCAAACATATCTACTCCTATATGATTGTGTATATGTGCAGCAATCCCTCTTTTATGCAACTTTCATTAAAGATGGCTGCCAAGGTACACAAGAAAAATTAAATAAAAACTTAAATGCAGTACCTTGTGAGTTGTCTTTAATGAAACTTATATATATATATATATATATATATATATATATATATATATATATATATATATATATATTAATAAATATATTTTTTTTTTCACTGGTAGCACAACTCTGAGTTTATCCTTTATCTTGCTGGAGGTGAAAATTGTCACCATAGAATTCTCTCCCTTTACTGTTCTAGGTGCATTCTGTTGCCTTGAGAGGATTGCTATAAATAAACACTTGTCAACTGTTATTTCCAGTATTTTAAGCTGGAAAAAACCTGCTAACACTTTGGAACAAGGCTAAACTCCCGTTTTCTAGTGCCATTTTGAATTCTACATTCTACACAAAGGGTAACATCAATTAAACCCACATTAAACTTTTTGCAATTTGTGTTACTGGTGAGGAAAAATAATGTATATTTATTATTAATATAAATTATAGCACTGTTATTATACACTCAATTCAATGTTTTACATCCAATACTCAAATTTCTTAGTGAACTAATTATGCACTGATTACATTTTTCTCTTTTTATATATATATATATATATATATATATATATTAATTTGTTCAACCTTAGCAAGGTAATAATGCCACTAAAATGCAAGGGGCTACTCAGAGAATGAAAACTACTTTAGAATGAACTGGAAACCCAATCCTAAACAGGAAACAAGGGATAAACCTCTACTACTGTTCAAAAGAGCGAGGAGGTGTGTGAACTGGGTGATAGGTTTGCCTATCTACTCATATTGAGGAAAAATAAGAGACACACAGTCTTCAATAAAATATCTCTCTAGGCTAAGGAAAACTGTTATAATACCTATGGCTTGTTTGATTCCAATGATGTAGACCAGTACTTCTTTTTGAACAAATGCATTTGAAGTTCAGAGAGAGGGATTAGCTATGTGCAATTTCCTTACTTAAAAGAGTCTTCAAGCACAGATATTGCTAGGTTTTTAATATCTTTGATGTGTGTTGCATATTATGACTAACTGTAGCCGAAGAAGGCAAAACATGATAAAGAGTTATGAATTTTTCCAGGCAGTACTCCTGACTTAACACCCTGTGACTTTTATTTTGGGGATTGGTTGAAGGAGAAAGTCTACTATGCCAAACCAAGATTTTAGAAGAACTTGAAGGGCAAATACAAGAAGATATGTCTTCCATATTAGAAGAGTTCTTGGTGAAATCAGTTGACACAATTCCTGGTTGGCTTGAGAAGCATTTATCAAAATCTGGTGCCATATCGAATTTTTAAATAAAACCTCATGCTAAACTCTTTCCTCTCAGATCCATTTCTTGTAGAAATTATAGTTAATAAATGAATTATAAATATTTTAAGGTGGGGAGTTACTTTTCAATCACCTCACACACACACACACACACACACATATATATATATATATATATATATATATAATACACACACAGAAAATACTATATTATATATATGTGAGAAACATAATATAGTATGGTGGGAGTAAAAACACAGTGCTTGATGTAAAATGATACATCTAAGATATGTATTAAAAGAATTATATTGTTATTTATCAACTGATGCTACTCAAAATTTCATCTGTATAGTCATCAGCAGGCATAAACTATGTTTATATATATAAACTTAGTTCATTTTATATATATATATATATATATATATATATATATATATATATATATATATATAAAAAAGAGGTTGGTGAATTGTTCTTAGTCTCATTAAGGAGAGGATTCCCAATAAATTTGATGTTAGATCATTTGTTTAGATTATGAGAAATGAGTCCTGAAGAATTAGTTAAAGGAATCTTCTAAAGTTCATGTTACTTTTTATTTTTTGGCATCAAAGGCACTGTTTCTTCCTAAAATAAACCTTGACAATTTACCCTGTATCTTTCAAACCAAACATCACCTTGCTTACTTACAGACTTAAACTTAATTATAGAGAATGTATTTTTCCACCATTTGTTTGGACAAATGATGTATCTTGGAATTTTGTGTCTCTTCAATGTCAAGACATGTCAGTAAATTTACTGCAAAAAGAAAATCAAAAAGTTGACAGTATTCCCATTTAAATCAATTTTCAGTACAAGAATCATTGCTGGTTAATTTTGTTTTGTCAGATTCACTTTTAACATATCAAGCACCGTTGGTACAGAAAATATATCAAATGTTGCTGAGAAGCTGATGGAAAATTTCTTTTGTTTGAATTTGTTATCTCAAGAGTTTCCTTTAAAAACGTTTTTGTCTGCTTTTCTCAAAGGTAAAAGTGCTGTCATTTGGCACCTAATGTATCATGAATGAGACGAGATTGTTCACTATTACACAATGGCAAGGCACTCTAATTTATATTCATTAATCTCTACATAGGATGGCACATGTAAAGCACTCAGTGAAGACTGAACTCACTTCAGCAGTTACCATCTTAGTTTTTTGAATACTTAGGTTCACCCAATAAAAGGTTCAATTATAGTGTTATTGAATATAAGAGGTAAAAAGAAATGAAAATTATGAGGATAAGGAGGATAGATAATGATTGACCCTTGAAGATTTTCAAGGAAACATCCATGTAGATGTATGTTCCACAGCATAACAATTCTCAAGAAAAAACTATCTGAATAAAACTTCATTCTTGCAAATGTAATACAGAGAAAATACATGTACATGTAGCATGGCAAGTCCTAGCTGTGAAGGTCAGAACTGGTGGAACTAAAGACTAGACTATTCACCACTCTCCCATGATGAGACATCCAATCAAAATGTATCTATTTTTTTATAAGCAGCATGAAGGAAGACATTTGATTATTTCAAATGTTGCCCAGCTTCTGAAAAAGACATGTATCATGTCTCAAGAGATGTGCCATGTCTTTTCAGGACCTGGGCCATCTTGACTCTCCACAACTTCCTATCCTTTGTAGTTCTACATAATTTTTGTCTACTTACTAGCTTTCCCACTCTTTCTGCAATCCATGTACCCAAGCTTGTTAGATAGGTTATTGTTTCCCTCTGTCCCGTCAAGACACAGGTGATTATGGATCTCCACAACTTCCTATCTTTTGTAGTTGTAAGTGATGTTTGTTTCTTTACTATCCTACTCAGTCCCTGTTCTGCTATCCATTTATGCCAGCTCGTTAAGTTTACTTACTGTTTCCCTCTGTCCTTCAGGACATGGATGATCAAGGCCTGCCACAACTTCCTATCCTTTGTAGATATAAGTAATTTTTGTCTTACTATCCTTACCAATCCTTATTTTGTTATTCATTTACACAAACTCATTAGGTAGGTTATCTGCTGTTTCCCTCTGTTCCTCTTGTCTTTAATATGTCTTGTGAGTGTCAAACTTTCCAAGCCTCATCCTCATTGTGTATCCAAAAAATTTAACTGTCTGTTTCTGATTCTAAATACAAGTCTCCTTTTTGTTTCTATTTTCCTTAAGACTTCCTCATTGCTCATATGTTATGTCCATGGTATTCTCAGCATCTTTTTGTAGAACCACATCTCTATTCCTTCAAGATTCCTCTTCGTCTGTGAGGAAGATTCACTGCTATGTAGGAAAATTGATATTACATTTCAACAGTGTTTTATGTAACCTGTCTTCATGTATTATATTTGCACTGCGAACACTCAACACACATTTATGCATGCATACACAAATGAGCTCAGATATCAACTGAAATAATGTAATTTACATGTTAGTCCAAGATGGATGATGTACAGTCTATTCACCTTAGAGAAATATTTTTCTGTTTTTATATTACTCTCATATCCTGAAATGACCTGCCAGCATTTTCAGATAATCTCATTCAGTTCTTGGAATTATATTTGGCTTCTTGTAGCCTGTAAGCAATTCATTTTTACAATTTCCTTCTCTGGTCGGAGACAAAAAAGAAAAAAAAATACTGTGAATCATAAATATTCACTACTTTCCCAGGAACATATGCCCAAGCATTATATATTTGATCTTGAACTTAGATTTTTATATCTATATGTTCTCTGTCTCTTTTATCATTTTATATAATGATAAAGAATTAATGTATTTATTTTGATTCTGACATTACAAATGTTATTATAATGGGTACTTGTATTTGAAATAGACGTCCGATTTTTATTTTTAACAGGGTGTATTATGTTCATTGAACTGTGATGAAGATGCTTTTCAAAATCTCAGTAAAGTATTAAGAAATAGGAAAATTTTGTTAAACACAAAGAAAATAGTATTGAATCATTACATAATATTTGTGAAGAGACTTGATGCAACATAAATGTGGTTGTACAGAAGGATGATGAGAATACCATTAACTGACCACGTGAGCAACAACAAAGTTTTAGAGAAAATGGAAGCAAAAAGGAAACTTATACTTTGAATTAAAAAGAGCCAGTTGAAACTTCTAAGGCACATGATGAGGAAAGAGAGCTTGGAAAATTTGATACTCACAAAAAAAATTGAGATAAAGTAAAACAATGCATAAGCCACCTAGCAAGCTTGAATAAATGGGTTGCAGAACAAGGTTTAGGAGAGATAAAAAGACAAAATGTATTGAAGAGGTTCAAAGGACAGGAAGTTGTGGAGAGCCATGATGACCAACGTCCTGAAGGGACATGACACACAGAAGAAAAAGACTCATTTTCAAATTATGCAAACTTTCATAAACAGTTCTGTGATCTTTATAATCCCTAAAAAATTCAAGCAATATGTCTGTATCAAATTTTGCAGTAATTCTGCTACTGAAGGCCTCAAAATGCTTTCTCAAACATTTGGTAAACATTCACTCCGATCTCTTAACTTTTTCTCTTTGCCAATGCCTCCTCTCGTATTTTCATGCAACTGAGAACTCCTGCTCCACAAACTCATTTCTATTTGTCATCACCTCCTGCTCTTTACTCTGCTTTCTCCTTTCTTTCTTCTCCTACTCCTTCTCCTCACACTGATTACTCTTTGTCACTTCCTGTTTCTACTACCTTTTGTCTCTACTTCCTATTCCTTCTCCATACAACTGTCTTTTCCTCTGGTCTCTCTTTTGCTACTGTTTACATCTTAGCTGATTTCTCCTTGTCACCCTACTCTTCTCACCCTGTCTTCTCCTTGCCAGCAATTCCCTTTTGCTCATTGCATTCTCCCTTTACCTCTGCCTACTCCTCTTCCTTGCACCAATTTTCCCTTGTTGCTGCCTCCCACTCCTCACTTTGGTCACTTTTTGCCACTGACTACTTCCGCTTCTTACTCTGCCTTCTCCTTTCCTTTACCTGCACTTTCTACTCACCCCAATTTCTCCTTGCCACCTTCATCCTTTTCAGGCTCTCTTATTGTCTACCTATTTCTTCTACTCACCCTAATTATTTCTTCTCATCATCCTGATTACACATTGCCACTGCCTTTTTTTTACATTCTGGTCTTTCTTTATCTCTGCTTACTCATTCTACTCCACTTGATTTCTCCTCACTGCTGCCTCCTCCTTTTCCTCACTCTGATCTCTCTTCACCTCCTCCTCCTCCCTTTAGTCTCTCTTTCCCTCTGCTTACTTGTTCTCCTCTGATAATGCCTCCTTCTCTGGTTTTTCTTTACCTCTGCCTACTCTAACTCTCATCTCCCTGGTTTCTCCTTGCTTCTACTTACTTTTTCTCCTTGTCACTGCCTCCTCCTCATCACCCTCATTAAATTTCACCTCTGGTTATTCTTTTTTCTTGTCATTACCTCCTCCTTCACTAGTTTTTCACTTTTGCCTAGTCTCTCTTCACTTATGCCTACTCCTCCCTCTAGTTTCTCTTCACCTATGCCTACTCCTACTCCTTTCTCTTCACCTATGCCTACTCCTCCTCACTCTGGTTTCTCTTCACCTATGCCTACTCCTCCTCATTCTGGTTTCTCTTCACCTATGCCTACTCCTCCTCACTCTGGTTTCTCTTCACCTATGCCTACTCCTCCTCACTCTGGTTTCTCTTCACCTATGCCTACTGCCTACTCCTTCTCCTTACCACTGCCTCCTTCTCTTCACTTTGGTCTCTCCTTGCCAATATTGAATCCTTCCCACTTTGATCTGCACACTAGATCTTTGCTTATAATAAAAATTTTCCCCAATTTTTTTTTTTATGTCTGTTAGACAACATCAGATGGGGCTTCCTTTGAGATTATCTAAAGTTTTGGAGTGCAAAGATATGAAGCAAGTTTTTCTACCATTTTTATCTTTTATTTTTGTTTGGCATCAAAGCTTCAAGTAAATGTCTATTAACTGTGTAGAAACACACATTGACACCAGGTTTTTTATTTGCATTTGGTAATGGGATATGTCAGCCATGATCAGTGCATATGCATAGTTATTCTCATACAGCCAGAAATGTGCATGTTTTGTTTTTATGGGTGAAAAAATATCCTTGTTTTTCCAAAGTGTTAAGCTTTATTAATAGAAAATCTTCAGTCATTTTTATCAGAAATTTTATATTCACATTTAAAATTTAGCATCTAGTTTGCAAATATTTATACAGTTAAATAACATTCAAATTAGTAGGTTTTCTTCTCTAATTTGGAATGAATGAACAGATACTACACTTCAATCTTAGAAGACTTCAGTGAAAAAGATAGTTAAATTCAGATCAGATAAACTTCCAGTCGAGTTCATTACATTCTTTTTGTGCAAATACCCTTGGAAAAGGTATAAATCCATCTCTTCTCCCCTCAGCAATAAGTCAAGTAGCAGGGTTTGCTGGGCTCTCTAGCCATGGTTGCCGACCCATCTAGGAGAAGGACAACTGTGAATTCAAAACTGTATGGAGCTTGGTGAAGCACATATTATATTACCATGGAAAGGATTGTAAAGTTCACAATAACTCTTGACTATATTTCATGTGATAACTGATGATAAACTGAAAATATAGGGAAAAATATATTTGTTTACTCCAGTTGTCTGTAACCTGTTCGCTTCAAAAGACACATGGATGTTGAGTCAGCTTTCCTTACCTATATATAATGAAATTCCACAAAAATTCTCATGGGAGGTGAGGAAAACTTAAAAATCTAGAATCAAAAATACCAAAACCTTATATTACAAAGAATCATCAAATCATATTCCAACCATTAAAATACCATCATATGACAGCAACATTAGTGAGTTCAATGTAGAAGAGATGCAGGAGATTGCAAAGTTATCCTGATGCTATGGTTGAAGCTAATGGTGATTTTATTGAATAAATTTACTCTTTAGTATTTTCAAGATATTTTTGTGTAATTTTGGTAAATATATCTGTTAAAATGAGATGTCAGTGTTATTTTAATTCCATCTCACCCTATACATTCAAAAATGTTTTATTGAATTTCTACCGACAAGGTTTGTCTTCTCAGTTTTTTTATTGCTGTATTCCAGTTGGCATATAAGTAACTTTACATACACATACAGTTGTGTACATTTAAAAGTGCATATTTTTGTTTTGAATTGAATTCACTCCAATCAAGGCAGTAAAGCCACTAAGACACAAGGGATTACTGGTTATGGAAGAATTAGAAAACAGAAACATTACAAAGAAGCAAGAACAAAAGAAGTGTAATCAGGAGGACAGTAGATAGCGATTGACATTGCATTTAAAGTTGGCTGGAAAGTATGGAGCCAGTAATGTGATAGAAGAAACTGTTAGCATACAAGTTGTGGTTACATCTCACTAATTCAACTGTAAATTGATGAGATCTTGTTGCCAATCTAGTTATGCACTTAAATTCATAAAGTCTATGTACCATAGTGAAGAGCTCATCCAAACAATTACCATGAAAGTATTTAGGGAAAAGTCACAGGAAAGCAACTTTATCCCAGTGGGAAAGTGACTGAAGCCCAGATGCCAGGTCAGAACCAATAATGTTGCTGATTCTTTCTTTAGAATTTATCAAGAATCTTTAAGTATATAGTAGGAGCAACAGACCATATTCTAAGCATGGATAAATGGTAGACCTATAGATATCTAAGATAGATTCTGGAGAGAAAAATTGGCTAGCATGATACAGTGAACCAACTTTCTTAGCAGCTGACCTAGCAATGGATTCAATATAGTCTTCATGTCAGTCAAAAATGTTAGCTTGAGAAGGAACAACAAGTTATTCTCCTGGAGGTTAGCATCAGCCATTCTGATGGAAGGCAGAAAGGGATTTCTCAGATGATTAATAGAGAGCAGTTTAGTTTTGGAGGCATTAGAATTAATGAGTGATTCTTTGCTCCAGTTAACAACAGATTGAAGATCGTTTTTGATATCACCCGCCAATTTGACCATAACAAGTTGAACAGACTTACTGTAAAGACAGGAGTAAATGGTTGTATCATCAACATAGATACCAAGTTGAGAGCTGATACCATTAAGAAGGTCATTAATGAAACTTAAAAATAAAGTAAGGCCAAGGATAGAGCCCTGTATGACACCTGTATTATTACAAAAGGATGTAGAAGAGTGTCCATTCAGGATAACTTTCCTTTCATGATTTGATAAGAAAGACTAGATCAGTTCAAAACTTCCAACTTTCGGAGAAGACCTGAATGCCAGAACTTGTCAAAAGCTTTCAAGATGTCCAAAGCTACAGCCACGGCTTCACCATTCTTACCTAGAGCTTGATAGACTCTTTCCACAATTATTGTCAGTATATCAGCAGTTGACCTGGATAAACAAAAGCCATTAACATCAGAAAGAAAGAGTTGATATTTCTGGGGCACATAAGAAGGAAAAAGAGCTTAGAAAATTTGACACTGATAGGGCGTATTGAAGGCAAGGGAGGCAGAAAAAAGCACCCCATAACCTATCTAACAAGTTTGTGTAAATAGTTGGCAGAACATGGATTAGGACAGATAATGAAAAGACAGAATTTATTACAAGCTGCAAAGGACAGGAAATTGTGGAGAGCCATGATCACCAATGTCCTGAATGAACAAGGCACATAGAAGGAGGAGAAAAAGAAGTAAAAAAGAACAACAACAAACAAGCAAGCAATACAAACGTGAATATAGCTGGTGAGTATTAATTTACATGAGTTATCTCCCCTAAGGAATGAGAACAATCTGCTGCTGTGGATTGAATAAAGGATTTGATTTGGAATTCCAAGAAGGTTACCAAATACAAAGACAGACACTAAGGAAGGCTGTAGAGTACAATGTTTGAAACAGTATGAGCATAACAACCAAGATGAGCATGTTGATTCAAATATCAAATCTTATGAATAATGGTAATCAGAATTCCAAGAAAAATACTTACTAGGAATATGGTTAATAAATATAGATATTTGCTCAGTTTATACCAAAATGTCAGTTTCTAATATATGGGTTTGGTGAGATCATAATCATCATCATCAACATCCTTATCAGTCCCATGACTGGGTGTGGTCATAGGTTACTGTGCTGCTGAGAACTTGACTAGTTCCCTCCACATATCTGGGTTGAAAGCCAGGAAAGTATTGATTTATACATAGCAAAGCATAAATTAACTTGGGGAGGTAGACCTGGAGAGGCTCATCCCTCTTCAGGTGGGTCATAAATTTTAAAATTGATGGCACTAGAGGTAAACTCAACACTGGTGTTTCCTGTGAAATGGCTATGTATCCTGGTAAATATTATCTTTCAGTGTTTTTATAAATTCCTCTAATCACTGATTTCACTGTTAAAAAAAGCAAGCTTTACTATATATTTTTCTGTCAATTGTCTTTTATTCTACACAAAACACTTGCCAGACAGTAAAACAAAAATATAAAGTTGGGAGAAGATGTGATAAAAAAACTTATTGAAAGAGATGGGTTGGAAAAAACATGAGGAATGAATGAAAAAGTTAAAAACACTTTTGAAGGAAAATCCTCTTTTAACCTTAATTGCCCCAATCCAAGGATTCATCAGAATAAATTGAAATGGAAGAGAGGGAGAGAGTGTTTGGCATGTGTATGTCAGGTGGGGGGTTATGTAAGTTATAATTTTTTCCTGTTACCCTTGACAGATTCTATCAAAGTGGGAATATGACATATATTTTTTAATATTATTTTAAGTTTTATCTATATATATATATATATATATATATATATATATATATATATATATATATATATATTGTGATTTAATGAGGAAAGAAATCCTTAGGAAAATAAAATTGTATATTAAAAAGTATATCCATGAAGTCATCACACACACATTCACACACATACATAACCATAAATATAGCATCTTTTTTTTATATATATATATATATATATATATATATATATATATATATATATAATATTATATTAAAAGGTTACTTTTAGTGGATACCCATATTTGAGCAGATACTCAGTTTTATTTTATTTAGTATTTATTTTGTCTACCTGCCTGCCCTCTCAAGAAAACTTATTAAAGAAATGTACCAGTAGACAAAATAAACTAAAAATAACATTTGAAGTAATAAAAATATGTTGGATTAAAAAATAAATAATTCTTTATATATATATTTACTAAATATAGCTTAGTTGTGGCATAAGGCTGAGATTAAGGAGCATTCAGTGATGTTCAAGCTCTAGATATATATGGATGTTGAACAAACGCAAAATAGGCCAATGCAAGCACCCGCAACAAGGATTGGCTAGTTGCCCTGGCACATAGATGTACTCTAAAACAAATAGCCATCCACTATTTATATATAACATAACACAAGGATTTTTTTTATATACATGTATACATACATATAATAATATATTTTCTTAGGTGATAAGTGTCAATTTATTTTTAGATAACTGTTAAATTTTTAATGTACGAAATTTACATTGTTTTTTCTGTACAGCTAGTGACCTATGTACCATGAATGAAATGAGGTTTTTGTTTATATACATAGACACTTCCCTGTTTTTTGCTGATGCACATAGTTTACAATTTTGATCTTAGGGATAATAAACACATCACACAAATGGGTTCCATCAAATTGATCTCAACTGTTTCTTCTTGCCTACCTTATATCAGCTTTTTGCAAGTCACACTCCAGTCTTGACCTTGTTACAAATAATTCTAATCTTTCTATCTTAGCTTGGGATTTTGCAACATTTTTTTTTTTTTTGCAGTTTTTCATTTTAGGGCTATTTCAGGATTATAAGGCAAACTGACTGAAACACATCTCAACAGAGCCAACAGAATATACCAACTTTGGTGTTCTTGGATATGTCATTCTGTAAAAAGTCACTATCAATAAAATAATTTGAGCTATGTCCAAAGAAACACCTGTCTTCAATATTTATAAATGAATCTTAATATTTTTTATTGGAAGTTTTTTATATAAAATCTTTACTTGTTTTGATAAAAGCTAAGTTTAATGCAGCCTTGACCTTGGGATATGAAAAGAGGATTGCTTAATCAAGGAAATAATAAAAAAAAATGAAATTTTTTTTCAATGATCTTAAATTCTTCTTTCAGAATTTCCTCTGTTGATTTTTTGCATTTTTCTTTTATTCTTTCTTTTATTTCTTTTTTTTACTTATTTTTCTATTTTTTTTATCTTCTAAAATCTTTGCTCTGGTTTTTTCATTATTTCCTCCAACTTCCCTTTTTTCTTTTCTCTACTTTTTTCTCTTAAGTTCTTTGTTCTCTTCTTTCCTTTTTCCTTTTCTCCTTTCTTCTCCCCATCCTTTTTCTTTCTTTTCTTCTCCCTTCTTTTCTTTTTCACCTTCTTTCTTTATTTCCTTACTTCTTTCCTTTCTTTAATCTCACCTTTCTTTCTTTTCTTGCTCTCCTTTCTTCTTTAATTTTGCCTTTCTTTCCTTCTTTCTTTTAATCTCACCTTTTTTTACTTTCCTTCTTTCTTTCAATCTCACCTTTCTTCTTTCCTTCCTTCTTTTAATCTCACCTGTCTTCTTTCCTTCTTTTAATCACTCTTTTCTTTCCATTCTTTCTCCCCTGTCTTCTTTTGCTCTTTTTTTCTCTCCATTCTTTTCTTTCTTGACTTCCTTTTTCCATTCATTACTTTCTTCATTTGCATGATTTTGCTTTTGCTTTTTCAATTCTTTCTTCTATCATTTTCATTCATTGACTGATTTCTTTTCTTTTCCTTTATTCCTTTAGCTTTCTTCAATTTTGCATTCATTTTTCTTTTTCCATCATTCTCACTTCCAGTCAGTTCTTGGTTGAATGGCTGACATCTTCCTTCAGGATTTTTAAAGATATCTTTTCAGTTTCTGACATTTCTTACCTTTATTTATGTATTTTTTTTACCCTTGTCAAATCCTGTGATCTTTTATGTCATACACACTTCTCTCTGTGACCTCATCAATCTCAACCAGTCACTTACCCCCACGTGGCTAGACACCAACATCTACTCCTCCTTCTGTCAGGCTTGTCTGCTAGCTGCACTCAAAGACTTTACACTGTTTGCACTTGAAGATAGAGTACTTCAGTGGCATCATGCCAATTTGGGGAGTGTCTTTCAGAACTCCAAAGATAGGGAACGGTATTTTCCAAATCTTGCCTTTGTGCTAACCTACTCACTGTAATTTTTTTCTTTGAGACCAATTCAGTGTATAAATTAAGAGATTGTCATAGAAATTGTATCTTTTGTATTTTTCATTCTTATTTGTTTCTAGTCTGAGGATAGATTACTCAAATTCCTTTACCTCTTCTTTTAGTCTTTCTGATGAAGCAGATTTTTATGTGTAATTCTGTTCTTAAGTAAACCTTTTTTGTTAAAGACAATAAACATAAACACAAATTATTAAAAACTAGTTTACTCATGCCTTATGTCAGGTCCCTTTATGAGTGCTACTGATACCTGTAACCCAGTAATACCTGCTGTCTGATCGGATCATCAACAGCTAAACTGTTTCCTTCCACCACTTAAAGACAAAATGAAATTGATCTTCCACTTTATCTAGAATCATAGTAATTTCCCTGACAAAGCTTTGTTGAACACAGAAGAACCTGAAAATGTAAAGATTTGGATAAATTGCTTTGAGGCACATACCAGAATAAAAAAGTTACAAGATGATCAAACACCTGAAGGACAGAAAGAAATCACGCATTTATTTTTGGCTACCGTGGGATGCGATGCCGTTAGGCAGATTTTGTTAATGACATACCCGGCTGAAATTGAAAACTTGACATTTAAGGAAGTTAAAGAAATAATATTGAGAAATATTCAACCAAAGAAAAGATTGGTCATAGCCAAATGAACCAAATTCTTAACATTGGAACAAGAATTTGGGGATCCTATAAGGAAATATCCAAGAAGGTGAAGAGATATCAGTAGATATTGTGAATTTCATGAACTAGGACAACAAGGAATAAGCACAGAAGAAGAATTACTTTAACTCCGATTGGTAGGACTATACAACATTTCTCATAGAGTACATAGGATATCTACTGCTCATAGAGTACGTAGGATATCTACTGCTCATAGAGTACGTAGGATATCTACTGTTCATAGAGTACGTAGGATATCTACTGTTCATAGAGTACGTAGGATATCTACTGCTCATAGAGTACGTAGGATATCTACTACTCATAGAGTACGTAGGATATCTACTACTCATAGAGTACGTAGGATATCTACTACTCATAGAGTACATAGGATATCTACTGCTCATAATGTAGGATATCTACTGCTCATAATGTAGGATATCTAATGCTCATAATGTAGGATATCTAATGCTCATAGAGTACATAGGATATCTATGGCTACATAACATATAGTATATGTTGTTAAGTCTTTACTGTTATTAAAAGGTTTCACAAATAAATTTTTATATTCTAGTTATTATATTAATATGAAGTAATTCTTGATGGATTAGTTTAATACTTAATAACAATAGTAAATTGATACCCCACTTTATGTAGAGTCATAGTAATATTAATTTACCCATGTTTTAAAAAATGACAAGATATTTTGTTAACTCTTTACTATTAATTTCCAATTCCTGTTCATCAGCTAAAAAGGATGAATTTGTTTTTGGCATTTGTCATTCTTCTTCCAGAATTGATGTTGCCTCGGAAGTTGTGCAGGTTCTTTTTGCCTAGAAAGATCAGCATTACACAACATTTTTAGAGAAGTCTGTACATCTGTTAACTTTCAAAATCAGTAACCATTCCTAACCCCACATAAGTATTTATTTAACTATTTTCATCTTGAACAGTTTGCACTTATTATCAGGACATATTATGAATTTAGATTTAAGCAATAGATATACTGTTCTATTGTGCATTGCTTATCTCTTATTCTATATGCGTGTAATATACCAGTTCAGTTATGTGCCATGCATGATACATGCTTAGGCAATCATTTATTTTTCAATACATAACTGACGAGGCAGATTTTTTTCCCCGCAGTAGGTTGCCATTTCTTTCTGCAGTAGACCAGTTGCGATCCAAGGCTACAGAACCCAGTCTACCCTGCCATTTACCCATATTTGGGGGAGAAGAAGAGGATTCATACCTTTCCCAAGGGTATTAGAACATAAGTGAATGTAATGGATTCGATTGGAATTCGAACTCAACTCTCTGATTTCTCAATACCAAATGTTTTATATCTCTAATTCTGAATGTCTTTATTGCATGATAGAAAATCTTTTATTTTCAGTACATCCACCAGAGGAATAAGCTACATAATTAATAGTTTATTCTACTTCTAGGCTTACGGCCACATCACGTTGAAACACTGATTACTGTACAATCACCGAAGTTAAGCAACATCAAACTTGGTCAGTACCTAGATGGGTTCCCATTTGGGAATACTTGGATGTGCAGGTGGTATAAGAGATAATAGCTCAGAATTGTTAATTGGAGAGACAAGTTCCAATTATAGCTAGGTTTGTTATATTCACTTACATGCAAATAACCTTGAAAAAGGTATGAATCCACCTCTTCTCCCTCCAGCTATGGGTTAATTAGTAAGACTTGTATCACCAGGTTCGATGTTGTTTAACTTTGATTAATGGGAATTTGTATTTCAATGTGATGTGTCCTTAAGCTGGGATTTTACTGTAATTAAAAAACAGAGGAAAACAGGATAGATAGAAATTAAATTAATTTAATTCTTGGTAGAATTTTACAATAGGCACAGTGACCAGAAATCACTTTATTCAAATTTGTTTTCATATTTCATATTATGAATTTCATATTTCATATTATTATAAATGTGTTCCAGAACATGAAAATAAAAAAAAATCAATTATACTTTATAAAAGTTAAGTAGGGGGTTGGTGCTTTGCTATGTAAATTCATTGTAAATTGATTTGCTTATGGAAGCCAAAACAAAATATGTCCATACCATGTGAATCTTAAAATGTAAAAAAGTAGATTTTTTATTAAATTCATAATCTAGATTGCTTAATTTATAGTACTACCTGAAAAAAAAAAAAAAAAAAAAAAAAAACCCACTCCAGATAAGGAATTTCAATTTTTATGATTTATTTATTTTATTTTTTTTAAGAAGTCACATGTTATGAGCATATGTTGTTTTGGTTTCAAACTGAGACACTGCCACACCTCCACCCTGGATATTAACTTCTATAAAAAAAATGTTTTTCTTTTGATATTTGTTATCTGGAGTACTTAATCTATAGGAAAATGAAAAAAAGATTTTTTCACAATGGTTATTTCTGGTCAAGGGGCCTATTGTACAACTTCACCAAATTCTTACATTATGTGTTAACTGTCTTCATGCTGGGATTAATCTGCTCTATTTAAGATCAAAGATAAAGTTGAAGCATGTCTCTTATTTGCTTTTCATGGCTGGAACTTATTTACAGCAGGTTATTAGACAAAAATGTCTACCTGAAACAATGCCAAATTGTTTTGGCATTTCTGATCAGAGTGGATAGGTTGGAGGAAGAAGCTGTGAGTAGACTTAGAAAGAGGTGAAGTTGCTACAAGAGATTTTAGCATAAGATTGACTATTGTTTTCAATTTAGTATGTTTTGCGGAGAATGTGTTTTCTTCTTTGATTTTCCTCCACATCATCCTTATCTGTCCGACCCCTTCTTGAAGCTATTCCATTTTATGTAACTGACCAAAATATAAATAGTCCAGCAATAAATCAAACAGCCAGCAGACTTGAACCCTTGACCTCTCTTCCAGACCTTATTTCATCTAGTCCCCATTTAAACATTGCCAATTTTGTGTCTTTCTTCACATCTGCATTCTTGTAATTGTAGACCAAGTCTTTAAAGAATGGTTTAGAACACCAATACTCAGTAGAACAGTTGGCAAGTTTGTCTTTCGATCATGTGGTGTGTCTTTGGTGCTTTAACCTGACGGAGCCCATCCCTCTCCAGGTTAAACTATAGTCAAAAACCTCCAACTAGGTGACTTGTCTTGGTCATGAATACATGACCATTGTAATTCATCTGAGGAACCCTTCCACCCTGGCCAGTGACCTGTGTCGAGGAGGTCCTTCACCCAGTGGTACCATGTTAACACCACCTCCTCAAATGTTTTGCCCACCATCTGAAATGGTTTACTGGTGCATGGCAATCTGGAGCTATCATGTGAGAGATTTAGGAGATGGTTGAGGACTGGTGATGTCTGTCCACCCAAAGTGTAGTGTGCTAGACATCAAAGGTACTGCCCCTATCCAGAGTCCCCTATGCCCACAAATATTTCAGCATGCCTACTGTTAATCCAAATAGTTTCAGTAGTTTAATTTGTTAACGTATCATCCATGAATAATGAGTTCCTGATGAGGTATGGGAGTTTGAGTCTTGTTTGAAGCTAGTTCTTCATACCAGATTTTTGGATCTGCTAAAATTGTTATTTCATTAACATACCTTAGATGAAGGCATTTTC